ACACTGATGGACAGCAAAGGCTAAGCTATGCTTTAACATCATCCCTGCTTAATGCTTGGACAAGCAGCTTTGTACAGGTATTATAAAGCACTATGCAACAAGATATTGTCTGGATGGTGTAGTTGTAATAGTGGTAATGCATACTGGATTACAGCCCCCTAAATCAGGGTTGTAATACAATGTGGGTGGCTGGACATCATATAATATAGTGAATGAATGACAGGAGGCAGTGCTGGTTGTTGTTGGTGGTTTAAGACAATCAAGTCTTTAATTCATAGTTTTCTGTATTCAACAAATGGTTAACTGAAGAGTGGCACCAGCAGGGTGACAAAAGAATTCAAACGGTCTTGAACTCAAAAGCATAAACTGAGACGATTGGCGTTGCACAATCAGCTCACTTTCAGTCTCGATTGACAGAAAGCGACGAGCTCTACTGACTGAAGCCTCCCTGCTTGCTCGCCAGTTTTCCGATCAGCTGCCAGAACTCGGAGAAAGTCAGCTCCCCGTCGTTGTTTTCATCCAGTGAGCCCATGAGCTGGTCGATGACAGCGGGATCACTGGCATTCTGCAGAGGGTGATCACAAAGAACAGTTCAGGATCAATACAATATAATGATCTCAGATGCAGTATCATCTACTTTGAAACACTGTCCTGCCACCTAATGGTTGAATGAAGTAACAAAAACACCCGAAAAGCATTTGTAGGCACACTCACAACGTTTCTTGATCATGGGGAAAACAGCTATGAAAAGAGCTCAAGCCCTGTAAGTTACTATGGCCATTGGGCTATAAAACACATTAAATTACTACATTATATATGCAGCAGAAGTGTTTTTCTTGATAGTGTACAGTTTATAATTAATTTCATTCCACTTTCACACCGATACAATCACAAATTACAAGATTACACTCCTTACAAGAATCAGCTGACCACGGTTTGATCAATTAATAATTTTGTTATAATCAAATAAATGTATTGACAATTTTTCAATTCCACTGTAAATACAAATTCAGACATTACCTCACGCAGATGGTGATTTTGTATAAAATGTTATTATCAGAATCAGAGAAACACATTAAGTGAAGTAAAAAACACACAAGTGTTGAATTTTTACATGCAAAGTGTGTATCGTGTTGTATAGAGTACACGTGATACAACATGATGAGGGAGGATTTTTCTGATTGCCTGCCAAGGGCGTAATCTTAATATTTGTCCTCAGTGCTCAGCATCTTTAAAAATGTCTGGTGCCAAAAACTGATTTGCTACTTAAATACCAGTGGAGATACAGCCCTACCAGTGGAACAACAAAGAGCGACACGGCTCCAAACGCTGGGGTGGTTGTGGTGGTTCAGGAGGTAGCGCGGGTCGTCTACCAATCGGAGCGTTGGTGGTTCAATCTCTGGTTACTCCAGCTTGCATGTCGAAGTATCCTTCGGTAATATGTTGACCTCGATGCGTGCAGTGTGAATGTGTGTGCGCGTGTGAATGTCATACAAGGTGCTTAAGTATAGAAAGGTGCATGTATGTTTGGGTGAATGCTCAGAGTAGAAAAAAATGTGCATTTGCCAAACAGATCAATGCCACAGTTACAGTTTCTTTAATATCTGTGTGTAGGCTGCTCAGGGACACAAATAACAAGGAAAAGAGGAAGAACAACTTAAGAGTCGCACCTTGACATAGTTGGGCAGCTGAGAAGCCACCAGGTGTTGGAACTCATCCTTACTCAGGGTGCTGGAGGATCCGTCTTTCCCAGCATATGTCTTGAACTGGGTGACAAGGGTTGAGATAGCAGCTTCCATGATGACCTGCGAAATAAACAAGTAGAGTGAATGTATTTCTCACACCAGAGCTTAAAAAAAGAGATGCAGTAGGAAAGAAAAAAGCATCCGTCTTACTTTCTGTGTCTGCAGTGCGGTGTGTCGCAATAAGTACCGAGAACCTTGTCCCTTGACTGTGACCATCACCTCTCCAAATATATACGCTTCATCTTCACGACTGATGCAAACATCAGCGGAAAACATTAAACCGTTCCCACTTCTCCCCCAGCCAGCAGGCTGCCCTTATCTGCCTGATTCCACTTCTCTGGAGACAGATGTCAAAACAAAGCACACACACACACACACACACACACACACACACACACACACACACACACA